GCCACGTCAGTGAGGCGCCAGCAATGACAACGGCAGTAAAAAGGTTAGATCCAAAAATAAATCCAAATGGGTTCAAATTGTGCTAAACTTGGCACTTAAGGTTTTTTTTTTAACAAGCAAAGGCACCGAAGTGCCAAATTCATTCAGCTCAAAGAGAAAGGCACTTAAGGTCACAACAGGGATTTTGGCCCGGAGGAAAACCATGCAGCCGGGGGAGCCACCGCAACTGCCGTAGGGCTCGGTTCCATGTGCTCAGGACACACCGCTTTGCCTCTGGGATCCTCGACCTTATAGTTGACGCAAACACAGAAAGTTCTGTCTTTCTGCCTCTAATAGAAACACATACACCCAAACAACAACCAAACACATAGCAGATTCATATGCTTTTAATTTGTGTAGAATTCATCCTGAAATTTTCTTCTATTATAGAACGACACAAACTTTCGTTTACTTTGGACCTCGTTGCTTGAGCTTTGCACAGGAACAAGAACAGAGATAAATAAGAAGTGTCTAAAACCTTACAGATGCAATACCACCGGACATTAGCAGTTCAGAGATGTTGGGAGAGACAGAAGAGCACACCAAATATCTGAACACCAGGCTCATTATGACAGCAGAACACGTAGTGTACACTGTTGGCGAATCAAGCTCCCCATCCAGTAACATCCAGCTTCACCAGATTTCAGCAAACCTTAAAACTTTTAGAACAATCGCAAGCACATGCTTCTGCGTGATGGATAGGAATATTGGCTCAAAACTCGTCAACTGAACACAGTCTATACGAAGCAATTACCGAACGATCTTCTGAAGCCTAACAGGCACATTGTCTTTCCCATGTTTATTTGTAGCATCCAACCAAGTTTCAGATGCGATCCAATTCTCCAAAAGATTAGAGAAGCGGGCATAAACAAAAATGCTGAACTCGCCGATTCCCTCTCCCGGTCTCCCCTGATTTCCATCCAGATGTTGCCACCTCAAGTCCATAACATTAATTCGATATGATTAAGACTGGAGGCGTATTATAAATCAAAGATAGTTCTCCAAAAGATCAAAGACAAGTGGGCGTAAATTCTGACTTCACTTCTCAATGAGAAGCACGAGAGATTTGAGGTTAGAAAACAGAGAACACACCAATGATCAAAAGATGCACGTGAGACCCAGGATTTAGATACTTCCCTCTTTGAACTGCAGGATTTAGATACTTGAAGGGAAGCTACAAATTGTTTGAAGCGGACAGCAACGACATGCAAGCAGATAAGATATCACAAACACTCATTGATCAAACTCCGTCAGGAGAATTGCTGTTGTTCAAACTTAAGAGCATCAGTCATTCATCATCTACTGATCCAAACTTGTCAATAGCCGTTTGCTTTACGAAGTTCAGATGGAAAGTTGCAAAAATAGAAATAATAAAGCACTGTAAACATCAAGCAACAACTAACGGATCAAAAGAAGGCATGCATTCCAAAACAATCAGCCCACACAAATCAATAGCTAAAATGGAAGTTACAGGAACATGGAAGAACAGAAGATGGATAAAGTTTTCTGAAGCTGCAACGCACAAATCCTGTACTATACTAAAGGCTGACCCAGGTTATGAATAAAAACTAGCATCATATGTTCTTCATAACCAGAACCAGAGTATTATACCTTCGTCTTTGTTTCCCTTCCCAAATGGTACTGTAAATTACGAGTCTCTTGCACTCTAGGAATTAGAATCACACAATAAAAAGCAGGCATTCTTCCATCTTGTGACATAAATAAAACATTCGAGCCACCGTAATAACAAACATTAGCCAAAACAATCTTGATACTATCATCTCCCACCAAGGCAAGCATCTGGGGTTTCCGCAGCAAAGCAAGAGACTCGATACCTTTCACAACCAGGGCAACTAAACACGCGCTATTCCAGTTCCCATGGGGCCTGAACTTAATTTCGCAAGCATTTGACAAGACAAATCAACAAAGATCCATGGGGAACAAGTTAATGAAAAGTATGATTCCAGCATGGCTTTCCAAATTTATGGTTCTGAGACACATTCGCAAGAAAATTTTGCAGGAACAGTGTTCATGATGATCTTTATCGCATAAAGACCTATTTTACTCGAACTAGATCTGAAGCAGGCAAGTGATAACAGAGCGCTAGTGAAATCCGGATCACGATCTCAAACATCCACACTACAAAGGAAGAAGAACACGGAACACATGCATCACAGGGTGTATCTAGGAGGAACATAAACGCGGGGGAAGACGAAGCAACGACACCGTCGGCCGGGGCCGTGACGCGATGGGGAGGGGATCAGTCGTCGCGCTTCTTGAGCTTGTCGACGCGCTGCTGGAGGTGGTCGAGCTTGACGACGAGGGAGGTGACGGAGAAGAGGATCCAGTAGAGGAGCAGCGCGGCGGCGATGAGGAGGGCGTTGCGCTGGGACTTCATGATGGACTTCTGGTGGCGGAGGTGCTCGGAGGGGGTGCAGGCGTGCTCGTCGTCGCAGGTGGGCCGCATCTCGTACTTCCAGTAGATGTCCATGAGCAGGAAGAGGCAGAAGGGCACCACCGACATCATCGGCTTGAGCGCGCTGCGCACGACGGAGATCATCCCGCGCCGGAGCGCGTCGAGCCCCGGCAGCGTCAGCAGCAGCAGCATGATGGCCTCCGCGCCCGCCGCGTACCCGAGCACCACCCACTCCAGCGCCATCGCGGCCGGATCTCTCGCCTTCCGATTCGCCGGAGATCGGTTTGCTTGGGAGAGGGGGATTTGGGAGGGGGATGGGGAAAACTCTGGTGGGCGTGCGTGCGTGTGCGCCGGGGGATTTCGGCTTTAGCGAGGGGAGCGGGGAGGGGATCGATCTGGGGGGGGCTTTTGGGTGGAATGGGTCTATGGCGTGGCGTGTCGGGGAGGAGGTTGCGTTGGAGCGGTTCTTGTAGATGGGGTGTAGGCAGGCGCTCCAGATTTAGGCGGACGACACGTTCGAGGGGATCGATGGCTGAGTCAGTACGCGGCGGGTGGAGACGAGAACCTTCGTGCCGACCACGGAAATCGTCGTGGACGGCTCTGATCGAACTGCGGTCAAGCGACGAAAGGGAGATTCGTACACGGACGACACGAAGCAAAGTATAGGATTTGCTTCGCTGTTAAGGTTGGGTCTCGCAGATCATTTTTCTTGTCGTGGCGGCGGGCCGTTCTCTGGCGGCTCCCCTCTGTCCGCGGCGGTGAGGGGGTCGCTGGATCCACGTGCGTGGATTATTTTTATTCGTAGTCTAGGTTTTTAGCCTGTTTATTGTCTTGGCTTCGGCGGCGATGATGACGACGCTGAATAAAGATTCTTGGGATCTTTCCCTGACAAGGTCATTGGTTCTATGGTTGGGGTTGAATTTCAAAACCAGTTTGTTCAAGTAAGAATGGCGTGGTGGCGGCGACATCCTCGTGGTGGACCTGTGTCCTCGGCCTCCGTCATTGCGACGATATTTGCTCCAGCGTCAGCGCGGAGCTTGGGAGGTAGTCCAGGAGCGGATGCAGTTTGTGTCTGTATCGACGACATCTAGAAGACGGAAAGTGTGTTGGGTTCGTGGTTCATGAATGGCAGGTATGGTTTCCTCCTTCGGCGTCTTAGTCGTGATGGGGTGCCAGATCTGGAGTTCGATGGCATGGCCGGGGTGTTGCCCCGGTCTGATTCGTTCAACGGCAATGACTTCACTTTTGGTGAGCCACCTGGAGTTCCGCAAAGCTGCATATCAGCGACGGAGCCGCGTCGAGCTCGGGTAAGGAGGTGATCCGTCATTCTTTTCTTCGGTGGCTGTGGTGGTGGTGCCGAAGGCAGGTGACGGACGTTGGTGTCAAGCTCAAAGATGTTCTGCTATCTTTTTAGTTTTGTCATGTCGGTCCTTACGTGACTTAACTTTGTTCTTTATGATATGAATAATACACATATTACCATGCAAAAACAAGGTTGGGTCTCGCAATTTTTCTAAAGAAAAAGGTTGAGTCTCCCATGTCAGAAAAAAATGGTTGGGATCCCGGAGCAAGTTTCACCGCAGGTTTTCTTATACTAGGAGAAAAATATGCTCCGGGTCACTGAAGTTGCGATGATACGATCACTGAACTTTGGAATACGCTTGTTCCATCATTATGTATGATGGGACATGAAAATACGGTCACTGTTGCGCATATACGGTGCGTACAAGCTCTTTGACCACATGTTGACCGATCGTAGCCGACACTGTGGAAATATGCTTGGAGATGAATGAATCACCCGATGCGTCCTTGGTTTATTTTATAGGCAAGTTTTCTGGTGGTGGGAGGGTGTTCTCGTAAAAAGCGCCGGCCAGTTCACCTTCTGACAAACGCACGGAAATTGAGGGTCGCCCTTGACAAAGTTAATGGTGGGGGACCACTACTATGTAATAGATTGAGAAGTCATCGCTTGCTGAATTATTGGAATCAGTCGAACAGGGTGAAGATGGGGAACTCGCCTCGCAAGCCGAAGACTTTAGAAGGCCTGGGGTAATTGAGCTCCGGCGTTGAAGGCTAGTTCGGGGACTACTGAGGGAGTCCTGAACTAGGAGGTCCTCAGGATGTCGGCTTATCTCACATGGGCCGCATTGCATCCGGACCGAAGACCTTTTGTGCCTTGGAGTGTATCCCAAGTCAAGATGGAAGACCCGGCGTTTCCTCGGTGTAACCGACTATCTGTATGAAGGAAATATGCCCTAGAGGCAATAATAAAGTTGTTATTTTATATTTTCTTATATCATGATAAATGTTTATTATTCATGCTAGAATTGTATTAACCGGAAACTTGATACATGTGTGGATACATAGACAAAATATTGTGTCCCTAGTAAGCCTCTACTGGACTAGCTCGTTAATCAAAGATGGTTAAGTTTCCTAACCATAGACATGTGTTATCATTTGATGAGCGGGATCACATCATTAGCAGAATGTGATGGACAAGACCCATCCGTTAGCATAGCATAATGATCGTTAAGTTTTATTGCTATTGCTTTCTTCATGACTTATACATATTCCTTTGACTATGAGATTATGCAACTCCCAAATACCGGAGGAAAACCTTGTGTGCTATCAAACATCACAACGTAACTGGGTGAATTATAAAGATGCTCTACAGGTGTCTCCGAAGGTGTTTGTTGGGTTGGCATAGATCGAGATTAGGATTTGTCACTCCAAGTATTGGAGAGGCATCTATGGGCCCTTTCGGTAATGCACACCACGATAAGCCTTGCAAGCAATGTGACTAATGAATTAGTTGCGGGATGATGCATTACAGAACGAGTAAAGAGACTTGACGGTAACGAGATTGAACTAGGTATGAGGATACCGACGACCGAATCTCGGGCAAGTAACATACCGGTGATAAAAGGAATGACGTATGATGTCATTGCGGTTTGACTGATAAAGATCTTTGTAGAATATGTAGGAACCAATATGAGCATCCAGGTTACGTTGTTGGTTATTGATCGGAGATGTGTCTCGGTCATGTCTACATAGTTCTCGAACCCGTAGGGTTCGCACGCTTAACGTTCGATGATGATTCGTATTATGAGTTATGTGTTTTGGTGACCGAAGATTGTTCGGAGTACCGGATGAGATCACGGACATGACGAGGAGTCTCAAAATAGTCGAGAGGTAAAGATTAATATATTGGACGATGATATTCGGACACCAGAATGGTTTCGAGGTGGTTCGGGTATTTATTGGAGTACCGAGGGGTTACCGGAATCCCCCGGGGAAAGTAATGGGCCTTATGGGCCATAGGGGAGATAGGAGGCAGCCCACAAGGGGTGCCCCCCCATGGGAGTCCGAATTGGACAAGGGGAGGGGGCGGCGCCCCCCTTTCATTCTCCTCCTCCCTCTCCCTTCCCTCTTTCCCCCTCCATGAGAAGGAAGGGGGAAACCTACTAGGACTAGGAGTCCTAGTGGGTCTCCCCCCACTTGGGCGTGCCCCTAGGCCGGCGGCCTCCTCCCCTGCTCCTTTATATATGGGGCAGGGGGCACTCCATAGCACATCAATTGTTCTCTTAGCCGTGTGCGGTGCCCCCATTCACAGTTTACTCCTCCGATCATATCATCGTAGTGCTTAGGTGAAGCCCTGCGCGGATCACATCACCATCACCGTCATCATGCCGTCGTGCTGATGAAACTCTCCCTCGACACTTTGCTGGATCAAGAGTTTGAAGGGACGTCATCGAGCTGAACATGTGCAGAACTCGGAGGTGTCGTACGTTTGGTGCATGATCGGTCGGAACGAGAAGTTCGACTACATCAACCGCGTTGTCAAATGCTTCCGCTTTTGGTCTACGAGGGTACGTGGACACACTCTCCCCCTATCATTGCTATGCATCTCCTAGATAGATCTTGCACGACATAGGAATTTTTTTGAAATTACATGCTACGTTTCCCAACAGTGACATTCGAGCCAGGTCTATGCGTAGATGATATGCACGAGTAGAACACAAAGAGTTGTGGGCGGTGATTGTCATACTACTTACCACCAATGTCTTATTTTGATTCGGCGGTATTGTTTGATGAAGCGGCCCGAACCAACCTTACATGACCACGTTCATGAGACCGGTTCCACCGACAGACATGCAACTAGTTTTGCATAAAGGTGGTTGGCGGGTTTCTGTTTCTCGAACTTTAGTTGAATCGAATTTGACTGCGGCCGGTCCTTGTTGAAGGTTAAAACAGCAAACTTGATAAAATCACCGTTGTGGTTTTGATGGGTAGGTAAGAACGGTTCTTACTAGAAGCCCGTAGTAGCCACGTAAAACTTGCAACAACAAACTAGAGGACGTCTAACTTGTTTTTGTAGGGTATATTATGATGTGATATGGTCAAGACATGATGTGATACTAGGGAAAACCTTAGACACAGAATATTACCAGCAACGCGGTTTAAAATAAGGCGTTGCTGCTACTTAGCAGCAACGCGTGTGGATAAACAGTGCTACTACTATAAAAGTAGCAGCAGCGCGCTAGTTACAAAACGCATAACCATTAAAAATGCCACGACATTGCCACCCTATTAGGTATAGTAGTAGCGCCTGTACTGCAGGCGCGCTACTACTATTGAACTTAGCACTAGCAGTTTATCATATCCCTCGCTACTGCTAAATTCAACTTTACCTTACCCAACCCGCCGCCCCCACTCTCCCTCTTCATTCTCACTCCCCCGCACCCTCGTCGTCCGCCGCGCGCCGCCGACGTTCACCGATCACCGTCGTCGGCCGCCGCTGCTCCTCCTCCTCCTCCTCCTCCACTGTGGTAATCCTTCCTCCTCTCTCCTTCTTCGTCCTCCTCCCTCCTCCCTACCGCGTCCCCCCCTCCACCTCCGG